AGATTTGCTGTAAAAAGTTCGATTACTGTACTTACTTGCTGTGGTTGCATAAGTGATTTAGATAGAATTATGTTAGTTTGTGATGGACTTATCGTGATTTGTAAAGTGATTTGTTGTAAAAAATTCGGTTACTGTACTTACTTGCTATAGTTGCATAAGTGATTTAGATAGGGCCATGTTAGTTTTGTAATGGACTTATCGTGATTTGTAAAGCGATTTGCTGTAAAAGTGAGGTTACTATACTTACTTGCTGTGGTTGCATAAGTGATTTAGATAGAGTTATGCTAGTTTGTGATGGACTTATCGTGATTTGTAAAGTGATTTGCTATAAAAAGTTCGGTTACTGTACTTACCAATTATTGTGGTTGTATAAGTGATTTAGATAGGGTTATGTTAGTTTTGTAATGGACTTATCGTGATTGTAAAGTGATTTGCTGTAAAAAGTTCGGTTACTGTACTTACTTGCTGTGATTTAGACAGGGTTATGTTAGTTTTGTGATGGACTTATCGTGATTTGTAAATGGTTTGCTGTAAAAAGTTCGGTTACTGTACTTACCGACTATTGTGGTTGCATAAGTGATTTAGATAGGGTTATGTTAGTTTTGTAATGGACATATCGTGATTTGTAAAGTGATTTGCTGTAAAAGTCGGTTACTATACCAACCGACTATTGAGGTTGTATAAGTGATTTATATGTTAGTTTTGCAATGGACATATCGTGATTTGTAAAGTAATTTGCTGTAAAAAAGTTCGGTTACTGTACTTACCGACTATTGTGGTTGCATAAGTGATTAGATAGGGTTATGTTAGTTTTGTAATGAACTTATCGTGATTTGTAAAGTGATTTATTGTAAAAAGGTTGGTTACTGTACTTACAAACTATTGTGGTTGCATAAGTGATTTAGATAGGGTTATGTTAGGTTTATAATGGACTTATTGTGATTTGTAAAGTGACTTGCTGTAAAAAGTTCGGTTACTGTACTTGCTGTAATTTAGATAGGGCTATTATATTAGTTTTGTAATGGGCTTATCGTGATTTTATAAAGTGATTTGCTGGGATACTGTACTTTCTGTGGTTGCATAAGCGATTTAGATAGGGTTATGTTAGTTTTGTGATGGACTTATCGTGATTTGTAAATGATTTGTTGTAAAAAGTTCGATTATTGTACTTACTCGCTGTGGTTGCATAAGTAATTTAGGTAGGGCTATGTTAGTTTTGTAATGGACTTGTCTTGATTTGTAAAGTGATTTACTATAAAAAGTTCGGTCACTGTACTTACAGACTATTGTGTTGCTATGTTAGTTTTGTAATGGACTTATCGTGATTTGTAAAGTGATTTGTTGTAAAAAGTTTGGTTACTGTACTTACAAACTATTGTGGTTGCATAAGTGATTTAGATAGGGTTATGTTAGTTTTGTAATGAACTTATCCTGATTTGTAAAGTGATTTGCAGTAAAAAGTTCGATTACTATACTTACCGACTACTTTGGTTGTATAAATGATTTAGATATGGTTATGTTAGTTTTATAATGAACTTATCGTGATTGTAAAGTGATTTGCCATAAAAAGCTCGGTTATTATACTTACAGACTATTGTGATTGCATAATGATTTAGATAGAGTTATGTTAGTTTTGTAATAAACTTATCGTGATTTGTAAAGTGCTTTGCTGTAAAAAATTCAATTACTGCACTTACAGACTATTGTGAATACATAAGTGATTTATACAATATTAGTTTTATCGTGATTTATAAAGTGATTTGCTGTAAAATTTCAGTTACTGTACTTACGAGCTTGCATAAGTGATTTAGATAGGGTTATTTTAGTTTACAGTATTATAGACTTATCGTGATTTGCTGTAAAAGTTCGGTTACTGTACTTACGAGCTGTAGTTGCATAAGTGATTTAGATAGGGTTATATTAGTTTTGTAATGAACTTATCGGTTACTGTACTCACGAGCTGTAGTTGCATGAGTGATTTAGATAGGGTTATTAGTTTTGTAATGACTTTACGTAATTTGTAAAGTGATTTGCTGTAAAAAATTCGGGTACTGTACTTACGAGCTGTAGTTGCATAAGTGATTTAGATAGGGCTATTAGTTTTGTAATGGACTTATCGTGATTTGTAAAGTGATTTGCTGTAAAAGTTAGGTTACTGTACTTACGGACTTTAAGTGATTTAGATAGGGTTATGTTAGTTAGTAATGGACTTATCGTAATTTGTATAGTGATTTGCTGTAAAAGGTTCGGTTCTATACTTACGAGCTGTGGCTGCATAAGTGATTTAGATAGGGTTATGTTAGTTTTGTAATGAACTTATCGTGATTTGTAAAGTGATTTGCTTTAAAAAATTCGGTTACTGTACTTACCGACTACTGTGGTTGCATAAATGATTTAGATAGGGTTATGTTAGTTTACAGTGTTATAGACTATCGTGATTTGTAAAGTGATTTGCTGTAAAATGTTCGGTTACTGTACTTACTCGCTGTGGCGCATAAGTGATTTAGGCAGGGTTTACGTTAGTTTTGTAATTGACTTATCGTGATTTGTAAAGCGATTTGCAAAAAGGTCGGTTACTGTACTTACGAGCTGTGGCGCATAATGATTTAGATAGGGTTACGTTAATTTTGCAATGAACTTATTGTGATTTGTATAGTGGTTTACTGTAAAAAGTTCGGTTATTGTACTTACAGACTATTGTGGTTGCATAAGTGATTTAGATGGGGTCATATTAGTTTTGTAATGGATTTATCGTGATTTGTAAAGTGATTTCGGTTACTGTACTTACTCGCTGTGGTGACATAGATAGGGTTATGTTAATTTTGTAATGGACATATCGTGATTTGTAAAGAGATTTACTGTAAAAAGTGAAGTTACTGACTTGCTGTGGTGACATAAGTGATTTATGTTAGTTTTGTAAAGTGGTTTGCTGTAAAAAGTTTGGTTACTGTACTTACAAGCTGTAGTGACGTCAAATTATTATTAACTTTTTAAGCTGCTAAAATTTACAAATGCTTATTGTACTTACAACACAGTAAATGATTTATAAGCCTTCTCTGCCCATACGTCATTTGGTTTAATTTCTAATAATTTCTTCAAGTCAGCAATTGACTCAGAATATCTTTTCATCATATAATTAATTTCTCCTCGATATCTTAATGCTATTGTATTAGTTGGTTCAATTTCTAGCAATCTAGTTAAATCTTCAAATGCTTTATCATATTTGCCCATAATAAAATATATTTTTCCTCGGTAGCTTAATTCAAATATTTTACTTGGATCTTTTTCTAATGATTTTGTTAGCTCATCAATTAAATTAACAAGCATATTTTCATAACCGCCTATAATAAAATAAACCTTTTCTTGATATACCAATGTTAATGCATTATTTGATTTTTCACTAATGTCTTCGATGATATCTTCATTAGTTATTGCTATCAATTGATATATATATTGACAAGGTTAAATTCTAAACAACCAAAGACGATTAAACTCTTTGAATAAATTTACCAGAATATTTAAATCTTTCGTTACCGAAGTTCACTTCTACTGATCCGCCTTTCGATCTAAATCCAACACAAGGATATAGAATACCTTTGAAATTACTATATAGATGACACGCAATTCCTTAAAAATATTTAATAATTATTAAATTTGTATCTACATTTTAAAAATATAATCTTTAATTTTTAGATGTTGACTACCTAAATTAATTCCATTCTTAGTATAAAATACTATGTTATTTTTAAAATTTAGGTAGCATCCAACTATATCACCAGTTGTATATAACTCTCCATATGGTCCACCACTTCCTGAATAAAAAGAATATCCATCGTCACCATGGTAACTACACCCCCATGATTCATTTTCTTTGTTTTTTTCATATTCCTTATTTTTCTTATATTCCTGTCCTAAAGGATATGATTTAGATGTTAATCTGTAATAATAAGAAAATAAATAAAAATTTGCCATTACCAGGCATGAACATATTATTTATATAATCTGATTCGTCTATTTTTTTATCTGTTTGTTTTGTACAATATCCTATTCCAATCATTCTATTAAGAAAAGATTATAAAAAATCACGAGAATAAAGGTGATACTTATGATGCGAAATAATTATTAATATTACCCATTTTTTCCTTTATCTATAATTTTAATTTCAAAGTAAAATATCCCACATCCTGAAGGGATCGGATGATTTGCTAAAACAATAGCAGCTTTAAAGTCACCAGTATCTTTAATTAAAAAGTTTTTAATTAATTGAAAAGCTATAATGATATTTTTTAAATACCAATGACTACAATAATACATTAAATATAAATTTCTCATTTTCATATTACCTGTATAATTCACTTTAAGTCCACTCGAATCTATGTCAATAAATGGCGATTTATCTTTAATATCCCATGCAGTCGGTAAAACATTATCTAAATCTTCCATGCGTTAAATTCGATATTCGATTCGGTTTTTTCGTTTAATCATCAGTGAACATATAAAAGTAGTTTATAGATTTTGTAATGTATACAAGTATTTATTATCGATCACAATGCACTATTTATGTATGCGTATTTGTATGCAGTATCCATCTCTAGATGATCGCCATTTTTCTTCCGTATAATTATATAGCGAAACCCAAAGTAGAAAAATGAAAGGAAATCCTTACCATAACAATTTATCGAACTTATGAATTTGAACTAAAGGAATTTAAATAATTTGTATGTAATAAGAATATGAAAGGTATAAAGCATTACCTTTTCTCCTCAATAAAAAAAATTAACTCGTTATGTTCATAGCTTCAAAGTTAACTAAGTGGCATCCCTTTGTAATCGTAAAATTCGTCGCTTGTGTGTCGTCGTAACCTCTTCCCCGTGCTTTTCGTCGTTAAAGAAAAAGAATTAGTAATAGTTAAAAATCGGATTTATACCTCTAATTGATTAAACTGTGATTTGCGTCATTATACCTTAAATCGAACCGTGACCACGCGGTCACTTGACATAATGAATCAAGTTCGCGATCAAGACGAGATGCGATGGGTAAATAAATATGGTCAATTATGCGATAGATGCGATATAATTTTAAAATTATGCGATTAATTATGCCTTGGCTGTGATTTTGATAGTTATTTATCTATTTTTCTTCAGAATCTTTCACACGATCAAAAATTTTGTTTCATCCACGTTCTTACGTCGGAACGGAGCCTCACGAAATTCATTTTGAACACTCATCTACTAATCATAATTTACACACATGATTATTATGCTTTTTTTGCGATGTATATGCGAAGAAATAATGGATCATGCACGTATCATAGTCGCATGATATCTATGAGAAAGTCTCCGGATACCAGGAACAGGACCTCAAACAATACTAATAGAGGTTATATTTTAAAATAGCTAACAGAGGTCAAAATTTTGCAAAATTAAGCAATTTGATTGGCTAAAAATTTTTTTATCCAATCAAATTGCAGAAAAACTGCTAACGGCTCAAATATAACCTCTGTTATAATTAGTCGGGGGCCTCCAGGAACCAGAAAAATTTTGAAATCAAATCAAATTTTTGCTGTTAGTAATTCTCATATTATCTTTATACTTGATTGGATATGAAGAGTTTTAATTGATAATTTCACTATAATGCAGCATTATACCATATTTCACAGCTAAGGGTGTTCTCAAGCACCTCACTCGATGGATCGGGAGGTAAATTTTTAATTAGTCGGAAAATGAATAAATCATTTCGATGAAGGATACAACCCATCTTTTTTCTTCAAAAATTTACCATTGATAACGGTCTCAAGCATCACTTTTACATTTTAGCATATCAAACATTTTATAAACAATGAATTATCAGTCTAAAAAAATAGTCACTTTATTTTAATGCTCTAAGCTTTTAAAACAAATAATCGATACCTTGATACGAACGTAACAGATAGACCCATATTTAATCTTTAATAAAACTATAATGAATTCTACTATTCTATTTTTCGCTCCATATTTAACGGATAATGAAGGCTATAACTTTTTTCGAAAACATTTTCGCTTCTTTCAGTGCGAAATAGTAACTGAAGAATTACTATAGGTTGCCTATAAACAAAAATTTTTTTTAAAACATACTTTATTATTACGAAAAAAAGTCTACTTCTAGTTACCGTGAAGCAACTTTCGCTAACGACACCATAAGTTGATTCGTTACTGTTACAACAAAAATTTAAATTGGTAAAATCATTAAAAGGAGAAATCGGTACAACTGAAGTTGAAGCTTCAGCATCTCATCGAATAGACCTTTTTTTATTAGGTTTTTTAGAAGGCATAACGAAGATTTTGAAAAATAGTAATAGTACGCTCAAACATTTAATTCTATAAATATCGTTCGTTATTGATTGTGATGCTTGAACGTTATCATGATCATGATTGAGATGCTTGAGGATGCCTAAGCCAACCCTCCCCTGTAGAAATTTACAGCTTTATCTTAATATTATGATATTGGAGCAAATTTTACGCTTAGATTGTTGTACTGTTTACGTTAAACCCGTATTGATATCAACAAATGGCTACCAATATTTAAAAATACGCTGATAAGTATTTTACAAGGGAGGGTTGTTTAGCCCGTAATTATTATTTAATATGTCCATTTTTGACTTAAATGGTATCATATAAAAAGTACTATGGGATATTTGCCTTGAAGATGACCTTACGGGACATAGTAATTACTATGTACCGTAAGGTCATTTTAAAGGTAGAGCCCCCCATATATTTTAAAAATTTGTAATCTTTAAAAAATAAAGCCACCAAGTTATAGTAAATTGGTTGGCTGCAAATTAGCGGCTTCTTTTTTTAGTAATATAATTCATGTATTTTCTAAGGTAATGAAGTAATACTGAAGTAACCTGCCAAGTCATAGACAATATTTAGAAGAAAAATGGTTAATCAAGATTTATTATACAGTAAATCATATAAAAATGCAAACTTTGAAGAGCTATACTATTAAATTATATTAATATAATAATGGCGTTATGCCTTAAGTAAAAAATGGGTTTGATTTTGGATTATTTAAGCTCAAAAAATAAAAAATTGATGTTTTGTCCTTTTCTTAGAATTTAACCTAAATGATTATAGTATAGTATACGGTATATTTACAGTATAACATAGGGTGTGTCTGAGGCAAAAAGACGTTACTTTAATTAGCAAAGCCCATGTTTAGTAGTTATCTCTTTAAATAGTGAATCGCGAGTAAAATACAAACCACCTATACAGTACTACAGTATTATGTAAATGTTTTAATACAGTATATATAAATATATACAGTATAAAGTGCAAATATGCCATATCATTTATCAGTCCTATAAAATAAGGGTCACTTATTTTAATATTGGCATGTTATTGACACAAATGCTACGAATTCAATCATAACGATACTAACGATACTGTAAAATCGATTGGTCATATATAAGGAAAATATGAAAATTTCCTTTATTATTCCTGAAACTTTACCAAACGATGGCCCGAATTAGATTGGGAACGTTAGCCCATAAGCACGTGAAATGCTGTGTGCGATCCCAAAACTTTTGTTATTTATATAGATTGTGCGACTATAAAAATTTTTTGTCAACGATTGAATTTTAGCATGGTATGTTTCTTTGCATCCTCATACAAATGTCTTACTTTCTTTAAATAATTTTACTTTAAAAAGATTCGCAGACAAACACGCCTTAGACGAGAATATTTGTATCGAAAGTCATTGGAAAATAAAGAAAAGCAAATTTATGAAAAGAAGCAAAAAATAAAAGAAGCTATTAAAGGTAATATCAGCCATATTGGATATTGGAATGAATGAATTAAATATTATTTACCAATCAATCATCTTTAATTATAATAATAGAAGGAAATCGGATACCCTATGAATTACGTTATGAAGCCGCTAAACTTCAAAAAGATCTCAATTTCGACGAAGCCCAAACAGGTATTTAACTTTTTTTAAATTATTTTAATCTATTGTATGGTAATTCGAATCTATTTGCATCATTTAGAGCCATCTTCACATATTGATGATGAGTATGCTCGAGCTGGAATACATGATCCTAAAGTACTCATCACAACTTCACGTGATCCAAGTAGCAGGCTCGCTCAATTTGCAAAGGTAATAAAAATTCATTTTATTTTTGTAGTTGACATTTTGTAACTTATCTACTGTTTTGTACAGGAAATGCGTTTAATTATTCCAAATTCACAACGTATAAACCGTGGTAATTATGTTATTAAAGATATGGTCGATGCCTGCAGAGCCAACGAAGTCACCGATCTAATAGTATTACATGAACATCGTGGCGAACCAGGTAAATTTTGGGTTTAAAATTTTATCTTCATTTAATTAATATAATAACCATAATGATTAAACCTTTTTAGATGGAATGGTGATATGTCACTTTCCTTATGGGCCCACCGCGTATTTTTCTCTTCATAATGTTGTTCTTCGTCATGATATTCAAGATGAAGGCACTGTTTCACAAGTATACCCTCATCTAATATTCCATAATTTCAATTCTAATTTGGGTCGCCGAGTGAGTAAAAATTATTCATAGTAATTGCATATTAAAAATGCTGACTTTTGACTTTATTTTTCTTTGTAGGTTACAAGTATTCTTAAATATTTATTTCCAGTTCCGAAGGACGACAGTAAAAGAATATTAACATTTGCTAATGAAAATGATTATGTTTCTTTTCGGTAAGAGTATTTGAATTCTCGTATTTAATTCATTTGACATCATTACATTAGGATATATTGCATATTTAGGCACCATGTGTACGTGAAAATCAATAATAAGGAAGTACAGCTTGCTGAAGTAGGTCCTCGATTTGAAATGAGAAGTAAGTCTTTTTTATTCTTTTTTTTATTCTTGATTGAGAATAAACTTCATTTTATTATTCTATTACAAGTATATGAAATTAAACTGGGAACTGTGGATCTAAAAGCCGCTGATACCGAATGGGTCTTACGTCCGTATCATCGAACAGCGAAGAAGCGGGATCACTTATAAATACAGTACATTGTTTATTTATTTTAAAATGAAAAAGTAATAAACACAGGTGCCATCTCATTACCTGCAGCAAAATACAATCTGATATCGATGAACTATACAAATGCAGTTATTTAATTAAATCAATGAAAAACATAAATCTTTTTTTGTAAACTTTTATTACTCAGTTTCTCATGAAACTCTATGAACCTTTAGATATGCTTTTTAGAGGTTATAATTAATGATGAGCAATTTACGGATATTCCTCGTGATATGCAGCATAGAGGTAAATAATCTGTCTGCATAATATGTAATGTGTGAAATTTTCTGTGGTGCTGGAAGTCTATGCTAGATATGTTTCAATTTTTTAAATCATTACAACTTTTTATTCAAGAGTTTGTCAAAAAACTAACTGGTAACTTTATAATGCAATATTATTCTATAAATTTGCCAAATATTTTTTTGAAAAACTTTCTGTATAAAAAAAATTGTTGTTTAAAGGATACTATTATGTTTCAATTTTAAAGTACTATACCTTTTTATAAAAGCAAAATTTTAAAAATCTGACCAGTAATTTTGTTCTTCATAATAAGCTTTACAAAATTGCCAAACAGCTTTTAAAAATGTTGCTCTATAAATAAGGTGATGCATTTTAAAGTTTGACTATTTTATTGTCTTTTAGTACCATGTTACCACTATTATTAAAATAATCCGCCTGAAATAAGCCACATAGATGCAAGTGTGAACTCTGTTCAGAACTATGCATATAATAGTACATGGATACAGAATATCTGTATCTAGATTAATTTAAATCGATTCTAAATTCATTTAAATGAGTTTTAGATCCTAAAACGACATTGTTGCTGAATAAAATATTCTTTGATCAATGCTTATTTTTTTAATATACATATTCTCTATTAATGCCTTTGACATAATGTGGTAACACCACATCCATATAGTAAGCTAGATCATTATATTCGTAGAAATTTACTCTATAATTGAATTTAACGCCTATTAGTGGTAGGTATAGATGCATTCTTCAGCTTAATGCATATTAATAATATTAACAAACTTCAAGCCCCAAGAGTTTTACTTTTACATTGTAAATAATCTACCCTTAGAGGCAGTATTGTCACAAGGCATCTTTGGACAGAGATTTGGACATTTTTAAACAAAAAAATAATTTAAAATTACTTAATTTTATTATATATCTTAATTTTCTAAGTAATATATATAATCAAATGTATTTTAATACAAATTTATTGATTATTAAAGGTTAGACATGACCAAAAAGCCTTTGGACATCAAAAACGTACAATACCGCTTAGGGAGATCTCCCTAAATGCATATACTATAAGTACGTGCTCTACATAATAAATTCTCTCTAATTGCACATAGCTCGGTCCCAACATATACTGTATATATACTGTATAAATGCTCTGTATACGTATTTTTTGCTCTATAAATGTGAACCTCTTGGATGCACAATTTTCTTTTTTATTACTGTGGTTCTGGAAGTGTATTTGGATTTAACCAAGCATTAGCCAGCGTTGGCGAACGACCTTGAAGCAGGGCCGATAATTTTCTGACTAAATTGAATTTACTAGGTCACGAGATATTTGGAAAGCATGCTTTTTATAGTATAACAATATAGAGCTAGGTAAATTTTGCGTGTGGTTAAGACTATAATGTGACGATTATTTTTACAAAGTTCTGTGCAGTTCGGTGGTGTTAGTGTTGTCAATGGACATTGGGCATTGGTAGTGTCTAGAGTTGCATGTGAAACTAGTTAATTTCACCAGGTGAAACTGCACCAACAGTGCATCTTAATAGCCAAATTGGTGAAACTGGTGAAACAGTGATATTGGTAATATTGGTAGAACTGGTGGTATTGGTGAAACCGGTGGTGTTGGTGAAACTGGGGACATTGGTAAAACTAGTTATATTGGTAAAACTGGTAATATTACTAATAATATCAGTTTTACCAATATCACAATTTTACCAATATCACCAGTTTTACCAATATCACCAGTTTCACCAATATTACCAGTTTTACTAGTATCACCAATGTTAATTGGTGATTGGTGATTGGTGAAAATTGATGCACCATTGAATATTAGTTTTACCTTCAACTCTAGTAGTGTCCGGTTCAAATAGGCTTATACTACACCTATTGTCTTATTTAAGACTTATTTGATTTATAAGCTGTATAATATATGAATGTCCATGATGACTTAATAGTGTAGTCATAGATCAGATTTTGTGTGTTTACTTTACAGAAACTAGCTGTTTTTTTTCAATGAAGTTAAGATAATCTTAACGATATTAATAAATTTTTTAATAATTATAAGATTATTTTACAGTAAATTTTAGTGTAAAAATTTTAAAATTATTTTAAGACAATTTTATAATTATACAGTATTAAATAATAGTTATAAAATTGTTATAAGATTATTATAAGATTATTATAAAATTATAATAAGATTATTATATAATAATTATATAATA